GGGGGGGGGGGGGGGGCGGGCTCTTTGGCGGGGCTGCGTTGGAGATCCGGCCGGCCCCGGGCGCCCCCTCCTCGGGCTCCGGGCCCGAGCCCCGGCCCCCGGGCCACCGCGCACGCTCCCGGGGCCCGGGGAATGCGCGGCCAAACGCCCGGCCCGCGACACCCATCGCCGGCTGGCCGTGCTTGTCCCCGCCGGATCAACGCCCGGCTGTGACAGTTTCATCCTCGGGCATGCCGTGTGGGGGGGGGGCCCCGCACAGCGGGCGGGCGGGCGGGCGGAATTCCGGCCCCGGCCCCGGCGCCGCCGCAGGTCGCGCCCGAGCGACCGTCCCCCCCTTTTGCGGGTGCTTGCGTGTGCCCCCCGGCGCGCGCCCTCCGAGCTCTGCGGGGCCGGGCGCGCTCCACCTCGGCCGGTTGTCCGGCGCACCGATCCGGGCCCCTCGGCACGGGGGGGCGGTTCCGGCCGCCCGGCCCCCCCCCCCCCCCCTGCCCTGCGCCGCGCGGCATCGGCCCCGGGTGTGGGGCGGGCCGCAGAGCGCACGCCGGCGCGGGCGAGCGGCTGCCCGCGCGCATGTGAGCTATGTGCGTGCGTGCTATGCGCCCATGTATGTGCGTGTGAGCGACGCGCATATGCGTGTGTCTGTGTGCTTTGGCGCCAGGACGGCCCCTCGGCCGCCCGCCCGCCACCCCCACGGCGCGCGCGTGTGCGCCCGCCCGGCAGACAAGGTTGTGCCGCCCGGGCCGCAGAGAGTAGGCACCAGAGCGGCGCCCGCGGCCGCGCGCGCCCGGGCCAAGCGGGTTGCGAGAGCGCCTGCGCGCGCCACCCTGCCGGCTCTCCGCACACACACACACACACACACACGTTCTCTCTCCCCCCTCCCCCGCTCTTGCCCTCTCCCTCGCGCACATGCACGCGTCCCTTCGGAGCGCCGCCCCGGTCGGGCCAGATCTTGATGCTTCTTCGGCCGGAGCCCCGGGCAAACCGGACTCCAGCCTGGAGCACCACCCTTCCAGCCTTCGACCCGCCCGCCTCCACGTCGCGCTCCTCCAACGTACCTCCCTCGCTCCCCCCTCCCTATCTCTCTCTCTCTCTCCCCCCCCCCTCTCCTCCTCCCTCGCAGGAGCCCGATCCCCCTGCCCCGGTGTGCTCCGTCGCTCCCCACCTGCCGAGCCACTCGCCTGCACCCGACGGCGACCCCCTCTCTTCCGCCCCTTCCTCCTGCCCTCCCCTCGCTCCCCCTCGCGCGTACCCTGCCCTCGCCCTTGAGGCACGCACGTGCGTGCGCCTGGCCGCAACAAGCACACACACACACACACACACACACACACACACACACACACACACAAGGGCGTATCCTCCGGTCGCGGCTCCCCCTGCTCCCCCCCCCCCTCCCGCCCTGCCCCGCTCCTGCCCCTCTGCTCTCCAATGAGACCGGCTCCAGCAGCATGGCAGCAGTACAGCTCCCCGCCGCTGCCGCCGCACGGCGAGCCCCCCCTGGACGAGTCGTCCCTGTCCATTCGCGCGTCGGCCGCCCTGCTGGACCAGCTCATTGATGCGGTGTCCGAGGCGGCCGACCGGGCCGATGCGCGCCTTCGCGTCCTGGCCGGCTTCCAGCCCCCCACGCCGGGCGACTGGCTCGAGGACGAGGACGAGGATGACACCACCAACTCGCTGATCGATGCGTATGCCTTCGAAGAGCCGGCCGCCGAATGGGGCCCGGCCGGGCCGAGCCCTCTCGGCCCCCCGCCGCCACGCGCCGAGGGGCCGCCCTCCGGGAGATCCCCCTCGCCGTCGATGCCGGCCCTGAGCCCGCTGCTCCCGGCCACCGGCCGGGCCCCCGGCGACCCGGGCGTGTCGTACCCCTCGCCGCCGGGATCCGGCTCGCCGCCGGCCGACGCGCACGCCGACCTGGCCGATGCCCACTTCGGCGCCAAGCGCCGGCCCTCGCTGCCCACGCGCCTGGACGCCGAGCACTCGCTCCCGAGCGCCGGGCCGACGGTGGTAGCGCAGCCCGGCGGCCCGACCCCGGCCCTGGAGCATGATGCCCTCCTGTCCGGGGCCGTGGCTTGCATCCCCGGCGTCAGCCTCCCACCGGGGCCCCCTCCCCGGGGGGCCGCCGCCCATCCGGCCGTCCGATCTCAGCCATCCTCCTCCCTGGAGTCCAGCCCAGCGCATCCCTTCAGCGGCCGGTGCGTCCTTGTGGTCCGCCCTTCCCGCGGGGCCCTCGCCCTGGCAGCGGCCTTTCCTTTTGCCTCCTCCCCACTCACGCGCGCACGCACGCACGCACGCACGTATACTGGGCCCCTCCTCTCCGGGGCACCCTTGCTCCAGGCGGAGCCACTCCTCGGACCTCCACCAGTCGCCGCGCACGCGATCGGTACGCCCTCGCCTTCGGAGGCCAGCCCCGCCATGGCAAGCGCCCCTGCACGGCACCCGGCATTCGCTAATTCCCCCGGTCCTCTACCCCCTGCCCACCCTTGCAGACCTCCTTCAACTACACCCCCGCCCCCCGGCGGCCATCCACCTGCTCCGAGTCCTCGGTCGGGTCGCTCGGCCCGCCGGCCGCTCTGGTGGCCATCCCCCCGCACCTGGCCACCAGTGCCGGGTCCTCGCCCGGGAACCGCCTGCTCAGCTCCATGTCCAGCATGATCTCCCGCAAGTTCCCCTTCCTGTCCATGCTCTCCTCCGCCTCCCGCGGGTCATCCATGGTACTGTCGCCCTGGGACTTGGTCCCCCCCCCCGCCGGCCCCCCGTCACTTGCTCCGGCGACCCTGACACACACACACAACTCTCCTCCCCCTCCCGGCGTGGGCATCGGGAAAAAATGCCGCCCAACCCCCGCGGCCGCACTCGCACCCTCGACCAGCCCCTGCGCATGTACTCCTCCCGGGACCTGGCCGCTGCCTGCCAGCAGGGCGACGTCCGCCGCGTGAAGAAGGTCCTCCTGCATGCTCGGCGCTTTTTCGGCCAGATCGCCCCCTCGCGAGCGCACCCGCAGCCCTTCGGCGACTTCGGCCAGCCATGGCCCTACTACTCGCCGGGCTGGTTCCAGGCCCTGCACGAGCATATGGGCCGGCAGGCCGCCATGTCTGGCGGTGCCCCGGCCCCGGTGGCCGGCCGCACCCGGCCCCGCACGCCGCAGCCCGCTGCCCCCTTCCGCGACCTTGGCCGGCGCCCGGCCACGCGGTCCGACTCGTCGCTTCACATCCCCTCGCTGTCGGGAAGCCCGCCGGCCGGCACCGCCCCCATCGGCCCCGGCACCGCCGCTGCCGCTGCCATGGCCACCGGCACCACCCCGGCCGACGGCATCCCCCCCGGCAGGGCGCCTGCCCCCGGCTGCCGGTCGGCGGATGCCAGCTCCTGCGACTCGCTGCGCAATGCGGCCCTCTCGTCGCTGGATGAGACCCTCATCTTTTCCTCCAACTACTTTGCCGGCCCGGCGGACAGCTCGTACCTCTGCGGCATGGGGCAGGAGGAGCCGGAGGATGGCCGCTCGGGCCCGGCCCATGGGCCCGGCCTGGCGCGGCTTCCCCTGCTGGATGCCGATCTCGACGCCGCCGGGCGCATGCTCGCCTCGCAGTGCGCCTATGTGGTGCTCATGGCGGCCGGCGTGCCGAGCCCCGACCCGCTGGTCGACGCGTCGTGGGGCCCGCACAATGGCTGCCCCCTGTGCTTGGCCTCGGAGGCCGGGGCCGGGGCCGACAGCGCCTCGCCCTCGGTGGGGCAGCTGGCGCCCGAGCGCGACCCCGATGCCGGGCCGGCCCTGTGCGGCCCCTGCGCCGGTCAGCTCGAGGAGACGGGGGCCGGTGCTGGCGCCGGCGCCGATGGCCCCTCCGCCACCGGGCCCAGCAAGAGCTGTCCAACTGCCCGGCCGACTGCCACTCAGCCGGTCGGTGGCCCGGGCCGGGCCCAGGCCGACGCGCATCCTGGCCCGTCGGCCGGGCCGTCGTCCTCCGGCGCCGGCCGGCCTCTGAGCGACCTGACGCTGGACGCCCATGCCGAGCACTTCCGCCTGGTCGGCGGCGACCCCAGCTGCCCGAAGTGCCTGTCCGCCAATGCCAATCGCCCGGCCAGCTTGGATCTATCGCGGCATTTGGAGAATGCCGGGGCCGGCAGCAGCCCGGGCAGCGCGCGAGCTGGCTCTCACGCTGCCTGCGCGGCATGCGGCCGGCCAGCCGGCCCTCCGGCGCTCGGTGACCGGCCGCAAGTGCACCGCCACCGGCCCCCCGGGGCAGGGGCCGGTCCCCTCCCCTGGTCGGCCTCCTCGTCGCCGCAATCGCTGCCCTTCACCCACCCCACCCCGCCGCCCTCCTCTTCGTCGCCCTTTTCCTCGTTCTCCTGCCACTCCTGCGCCTCCTCCTCCTCCTCCTCCTCCTGCGCCTCCTCCTCTTCCCCCTCGTCCTCCTCCTCCTCGTGCGTGTCATGTGCCGCCTCGTCCAGCCCCTCGTCATCGGCCTCCTCATCGCCAAGCTCCTGGGCCGGCAGCAAGCCCTCGGTCACCATCCTCCGGTCGACCCCCTCGCCCACGGTTGGCAGCCCCTCGCGCGGGTTTGCCGGCTCCTCCGGGTCTTCCTCCTCGCCCTCCTCCAGGTCCCTGGTGGCCATTCGCCACCGACGGGCGGCCAGCGACGGCGGCGGGGTCTTCCACACTCGCAGCCACGCCTTTGCTCCATTTGGCTTTGCCACTGACGGCGGCGCCGGCGGCGCCGGCCCCGGCCTCGGCAGCCCCGGCACCGGGGGCCTCTTTCAGGTGGGCCCGGTGTATGGGCCGATGCTCGGCCGGGCGCCGGCCGGCGCGCACCTTGGCCCGTGTGCCACTTGCCAGGGGATCGGCTCGCCGGCCGCCAGTGGCCTGTGCCCGGCGCACGCCGGCACGCGCCTCGCTCCCGGCGCTGCCGGGGGGCTGCTGTATGGCGCCGGCGCCGGTGGCAGCTCCCCCTCCCCCGGGCCCGGGGATTTCCGCCCGCCCGGCGGCCCCTGCAGCTGTGCCGGCCACAGCGCGGTGCCGTCGTGCAACTTTTCCTCCGGCCTGCTGTTTTCCATGAACATGCAGCCGGACGTCGATCACTACGCCACGTCCATGGCCCCGGTGCTGGCACTGGCCGAAACGGCCGGCGATCCGGTCGCCGCCTTGATCTCCTTCATCAACTTCCCCGACCCGTGCGTCGCCCTCGCCCCCTCCGC